CGCTTCTTAGGTACGTTTGCATTCTGCACTCCAGCCGGAGTCGGCATTACAATCGGCATCTGTTCTCCAACCGCCTCCTGCTGTAATCCCGGCATCTGCATTTCAGTCGCAGCATTTTTGCGGGGTCTACCGCGCTTCTTAGGTACATTTTCATTCTGCATTACGATCGGAGTCGGAGCCGGAGTCGGCATTACGATCGGCATCTGTTCTCCACCCGCCTCCTGCTGTAATCCCGGCATCTGCATTTCAGTCGCAGCATTTTTGCGGGGTCTCCCGCGCTTCTTAGGTACTAAATTATCTGTTTGTTTTTGGTTTTGCTTGCCATGTTTTCCAGTATCTGAACTGTATATCTTGAGACCTATATTTTCCTCATCTGGCCCTAACTCAAAATCCGCATTATCCCAACAACCAAATGGAAATTGATACAAAAAGTTTAGGTCGAAATCATCTGCATTCATTCCTAGCTCATTGTCAAATGCATTTAGTTGCTCGTCATCGTCATATTTTGGTAAATTCTTCTCCCAATCTCTTGGTCGGTCTTCAGAGCAAACAAGCAGTTGACAGATATCAGCCGTTTTATATAAATTGACATTGTCGGTTGTCTTATAGCTCTCCACTAGGTTGGGCAAATCAACCAGCTTGGCGTACAACTGATTTGAGTTCACCCAAACCTCAGCGTTTCGCATATCATTATACATATGAATGGATAATACCTCATTGGTATTACCCGCATCTATGGCATCTTGCACAACGTTCGCCTGCACCTGAATTCAGATATAGAAGATGCAGCATAATGCACAAAACTGTTGACAGTAATTCTAATTATATTTAATACTTACCTCTGGAAAGCGTATTATAAACTGATTTTCCAACTCATCGATTCGCTCCTCATTAAAGAAGGGCAAACTATCCCAAGACATTTTTATTTAAAAAAAAAAAATTTTTTTTTCTCAATTTTTTTCGTTTTAGTAATTTTACGAGCAGCACAAATCACATAATGTCCCAAATGGCAAATGACATCTCACTACGAATAGTGTTAACAAACGACAGTTGTATATCGACTAAAGTCAATGAATATGTGATGGACTATTATTCGATTTGCTCTGACAACTTGAGTGCCTTACACAACTCTAAGCCAGGGTATCCACAGTCGAATAGAAATATTCAGCATATGCGTTAGCTTTGACGGTATTACTTTGGGATTTTGCTGGTGCTTGAAATGAGTTAATAGAGAAAATGCCAATCAGACCACACAGAGCCTTGCAGCATATTTGTTGTTCTCTATATTAGCTACATATATATAGATACATATTTAACTAATTCTGATTGAGAATATTTTATATAGCTTATTTTGTATATCTCTGCGGTCTAATTAGGCATTTTATTTTAACTCAGAATTGATAAAGCAATATACAAATTTCACTCGTAAATGAGTATGAAAACTTAATATATACTTGGAAATTGTCATTAAAAATTTTATAAATATTCTTTATAAATTTTGCTATGGTGAATTTTGGATTTGGATTGGATTTTTCATTATTTTCTCATTACTTCATTAATTCATTATCTATTTAAGCCGCTTCTGGGCCTCAGCGTCTCTCACAGAGCCATTTGTTTGCCATTCATGGATTTCTTAGAACTCCAACTTTCAAGCCGTGCTGTTCAGGGCTTAGTCCTAGTGCCAGTATCCTCTACTGCAGCAAGCAGTCTGTGTTTCATTGGCACTTCTAACAGATTTCCTTTCGTTTTAAGTCGGCAAATCAGTTCATTACTTCATTGCATAATAAAGAGTCGTGTCTACTTATAATTCTTATTATTTTTCCTTAATATTTATGAGAATTATATAAGGAACCTATATTAAATAGTCCACTTGTATTTTGTGTTTGACTTTTTTCGGCTTCGCATGTCCCTCTATAATGTATGAATACTTTCCATTTATTTGCATACAAGTTCAAGTTATTTCTATTAATATTCCATTGCGTATTCGCGCGAGAATATATTCCATTTTTAATAACACAAAACTAAAAGGCGAGTGAGGCGCCAACAGCAACTAACAAAAAAAAAAAAAAAAAAAACATAACAACAAAATAAGATAACAAAAGCGATTAAAAAAAAAAAATCCATTGCCAAAACGAGAGCTCAAAAGTCAAAGCAAACATGCCAAAAGGGGCAGCAGCAGCAGGAGGCGGAGACTGAGGCAAGCAAATGGGATACAAGGCGAGATCTGCAGATGGGGCGGGACTTCGAACTGAATTGGCCTGGCCTGACTGAGTAGAGCCAAACAAAATAAAAAATACAGAAACAAAAAACAATTGAAATGTGAATATTAAATGTACAAGTACAAGATTTGTTCCTCCTGCTGCGGTCTTTGCAGGTGTCGTCCGCCACGCCCCTGCTGCGCCCTCAACTGCGGCAACTCCCTGCGGCGTCATTGTGTGCACTGCAAGTGCCAGCAACAACAACAACAACAACAACGGAGAAATAATAATACCATTTGAAGGCATCCACGTCGACTGATTGATGTCGAGATTTGCATGAGTAAACCAGCGGGTCGCCTACCCTTTAACTCCGCTTTAGAGGCAACCGCAGCCGCTGCTTTGGCCTCTTCCATTCGAGACTGGCTATTCGTTTAGCCAGATGCTTTAAGCGCATATTGTTGCCTGATCTCTAAAACGTTTTTTGATTTCAGTTTAATATCCGGCAGGAACATCTATAAATCTACCTTTATAACTATATATATTTCGAAACATTTTTGAAGTAAGTTTGACATCTTATAACTATATCTATATCTACATCATCTCCTACAGCTAAATGGACATTTCCAACTTCAAAGTTTGGCTTGGATAAGTGGCCGGAGTCTGCTGGATTACATGAGCCCTCATAGTCAGCCAGAGCGTAGAGCCTAGAGCCCTAAAATCAAATTGTTAACGTTAACTGAAAGCCTTTCTGCATAGAACCAGACGCCACAATGGAAACTAATTGCAGGCCAAGCAAATTGTTTACAACATCCTCAGCTCACGTTCACAATATAGAAATATCTATATGTATATGGTTATATGGTATAAAAGCCCGGAATATTTTTCAGCAGAATATATAGTTCTTTCGCTCTATATGCGTGTGTGCGTGTGCGTGTGTGTGTGTGTGGGTGTGTGTGCCATGCAACGAGGCACATTAATTAAATAAAAATTGATTTTTCAAGCGCCTGAAATCCAATCAACGACCAGCTCCAAGTAGGGACAACAACGAGTGGCTCGCACATAGAGCTATGTCCTGGATCAGCGCATCAGCCTTGTGTAGGAGCAGTGAGCGGCAAGCGGGGAGCAGCGAGCAGCGCACCGCCCAGCGCACCACCCACTGCTGCTGGTTGCCAAATGAAGTTAACAAAGTTTACGGTTTATTTTTTATATATAAAATTTTTTTTCTCTTTTTTGCCTTCGTTCGAGTTTTAATTTTTTTTTTTCTTTTATCGTTTGCATAAGTATATAATATGGACATGGGGCAGCTATTGTGGCTCTGGATATGCGATGCTTTATCCCATGGCACATAGTGCCACATGCCACATGCGTTTTGTATCGCCTTTAACCATTGGCCACAGTTTAATGTGCGCTGTCGCCCTTTTTGCGGGGCGGCATTTAAACCACAGCAAGTCATCAGGCAAATTGAATTTTCAACGTATGCTAGCATACTGTGTGTGTGTGTGTGTGTGTGTGCGTGGCACGCCCACAATTACAATGCCTGACTTAAAGCTCTACTTGTTTTATATAGCACTTATAGCAACTACTACCACTACTACTACGACTACTTCCACCAGCCCCGAGAGCCGCCGCTTTGGTTCCTGGTCAACGCCATTTGCCGTTCGCTTCTTTCGTTTCTCGTTACAAAATTACCCACGATAAAAATTGAATTACTTCGTCGTGGAGCTGGCTGGCTGGCTGGCTGGCTGGCATCACATTCTAGTCTGCCTCCTGGTCATGCCGAGATCCGTGACTTGATGGGCTCTGGGTCGGGGCCCGAGTCCCCTGGATAGCAGCAGCAGCAGCATTGTCGCTGCAAAGTGTTATGCTTACTCTTGACTCGCCCAAAGCCACGCCCGCGTCTCAGCGAACACTACTTAGGCAACGTTGAAACTGTCGCCGAGCCTGCTCCCTGTCTGGGCTGGGTCTGGGCCTGGGTCCTGGTTCTGGTGCTGTTCCTGGTGCTGGTGCTGGTCCTGGTTCAGAAGTCTGCACCTAGCACCCTCTTCTTACACTCTTCTAGCATACTTCTACTCTGTCCCTCTTGTCCTTTCCCTATCTCTGTGTGTGTCTGTGTGTGTGTGTGTGTGTGTATGACTTCATCTAATGATAAATGAGCTGCAATGGATGACAGCGAATCAACTTAAGTGTATTGCTCTGCTTCGGTGACACTCCCAACGCCCACCTAACAGCACAGCCAGCCCACCTACCCCTGTTGACTACATGTCCTGCAGGCAAGTCTGTGCCGTTGCCTTTGCCATTGCCGTTGCCGTTGCCGTTGCGCTGTCATCCAATGCACTTTCCCTTAACGCTCTCTGCTTGTGTTTACGTTTCACTTCAAATTTCTATGCTACACTAAATATTTACATAGGAAAAACTTTGCAAGTGTAAGTGAAACGCTTTAAAGATGTTCGAGCACAAAAAGCTGCAACAAAAAAATAAAAATAAAAAAAAGAAGCTAAAACTAAAACTTGAGCGAATGTTTCGCTACTCATTAACTTATCGGAAACTTCTTTTTTATGGCATGGCTAATTAGAGAGATTGGAATTTAATGATTGCAGCTGGGACCAGCTCGAATGAAAGCAGAGATGCAAAGAGATACAAATTGTTGTCGGAAGAAAAGCGTGACAGCAATCGCATGTGCCAGGCTAAGCTCATGTTACTTGCTAATCAATTTAAGTGCATTGCATTTACATTACTCCCTATACACGATAACTCTCTCTGTATTAAAGTTGGCTGACTGAAATGCGGTCATAAATATTTTTCCAGAAATAAATATAATCCAGTGATCCTTACATATTATTGTAGTTAAATACTTCATTGTTTTATGATTAGGTTAGGCGTCGAATCGGACATCCATCTAACAGATACATAAGGACATTTGATAAACGACCTTTCTCATTGTAACACCGGACTTTATTTTAATTAATGCATATATAAGTTATATTTTATTTGGAAAACTAGTTTTTACAATAAATAAAAAAAAAAAGTATCTAGTAAGTACATATATGTTGCGTGTATATATATCGTTGCTAATATCATTGAATTTATTGTGAGATTATATATTTGGAATGTTACAGTTTTCGTTTCTGTCTTTGTTTCAGTTTCCATTCACTTCGTTTCGCAGCGGCTGCTCCAACTGGGCCCCCTACTTGTGCAGGCAGACCGCATCGTTCTTGGAGACGCACTTGAGAAGGCGGTAGTCGAAACGTTCCTTGTTGTCGCAGCGCAGATGGACGAATCGATGTTTGCCGGACTTCTTGATTTCGCAACGGTAATATTTACGGCAGTCGCGCACATCTGGATAGGCATCGTCTTCATCGCATTCGTCTTCGTTTCTTAGCTTTTTTATGACTTTCTTTACAAATTCCCTTTTCTCTTTGGAGTTCAGATCGTCGTTGTCCTCATCTTCGTTGGACTTCTTCTGTTCGCTGTCTTTCTCTTCTTTCTCCTCTTTATCTTCTTTGGAATCCTTTGGTTTTTTCTTATCTTTCTTGTCATTCTTATCCTCAGATGAGCTGCTAGATTGTTTCTTATCGCTGTCATTTTCCTCATTTGAGTCTTTTGACTTGTTGTTTTCCTTCTTCTTATCTTCCTTTTCTTCTTTCCGCTTATTTTCCTTTTCTTTTTTCTTCTCATCAGAACTGTTTTCATTGGAGTCCGACTTCTTCTTGTCCTGCTCTTTGGACTGGTCCTTTTCTGACTTTGGCTTCTTTTTATCCTTGGGATTCTTGTTGCTCTCTTCAACCGAAGCATTTTCATTGGAGACTGGTCCATCAGACGGTTGCTCTACTGATTCATTTGTCTCCGGCTTTTTGGAATTTTCTGTCGGCGCTGATGTTGGTGCCACTGTGGGAGCTGTTGTAGGCTTCTTAGTTGGACGCCAACCATTGACCCAATCAAGCCAATTAGGCCAGAATGGATTTCCAGAGGGGGTATTTCCATTGTTACTGCCATTGCTGTTGCCCGGTTGCGATGGTCTCTGTGGCCAGAATGGATGTTGCGGAACGGGTCGAATAGGTGGACGTGGATGAATGGGACGGATGGGATGATTCGGGCGCCATGGATTTGGCCATGATCCAGGCCATGAGCCTGGCCATGAACCAGGTCTACCTGGATACACAGGAACTGAAGGGACAGATGGTACGGAAGGATAAGTGGGAGAATTGGGATTAACTGGGGAGTTAGGATCAACAGGACTGTTGGGATTCACTGGGGAGTTAGGGTCAACTGGTGCATTAGGGTCTACTGGTGCATTCGGATCAACTGGTGCGTTAGGATCCACAGGCGCGTTGGGATCTACTGGTGCGTTGGGATCAACTGGTGCATTTGGATTGACCGGAGCATTGGGATCAACTGGTGCATTCGGATCAACTGGTGCGTTAGGATCCACAGGCACGTTGGGATCTACAGGTGCGTTGGGATCCACAGGGGCGTTTGGATCTACTGGAGCGTTAGGGTCCACTGGTGCATTGGGATCAACTGGTGCATTAGGGTCAACTGGAGCATTAGGGTCAACTGGAGCATTGGGATCCACTGGTGCATTAGGGTCAATTGGTGCACTCGGGTCCACCGGGGCATTGGGATCAACTGGTGCATTCGGATCGACCGGGGCATTCGGATCTACTGGAGCGTTGGGATCAACTGGAGCGTTAGGGTCCACTGGTGCATTGGGATCAACTGGGGCATTAGGGTCAACTGGAGCATTGGGATCCACTGGTGCATT